ATCATAACACTCGAACTACCACATGGGAGAGACCACAGCCTTTGCCTCCAGGTTGGGAAAGAAGAGTTGATGATCGTGGGAGAGTTTATTATGTGGATCATAACACCAGAACAACAACGTGGCAGCGGCCTACCATGGAATCTGTTCGAAATTTTGAACAGTGGCAATCTCAGCGGAACCAGCTGCAGGGAGCTATGCAACAGTTCAACCAGCGATACCTCTATTCGGCTTCAATGTTAGCTGCAGAAAATGACCCGTACGGACCTTTGCCACCAGGCTGGGAAAAAAGAGTGGATTCAACAGACAGGGTGTACTTTGTGAATCATAACACAAAAACAACTCAGTGGGAAGACCCAAGAACTCAAGGTTTGCAGAATGAAGAACCCTTGCCAGAAGGCTGGGAAATAAGGTATACTCGAGAAGGTGTTAGGTATTTTGTTGATCATAACACAAGAACAACAACATTCAAAGATCCTCGCAATGGGAAGTCATCTGTAACTAAGGGTGGTCCACAGATTGCTTATGAGCGCAGCTTCAGGTGGAAACTTGCTCACTTCCGTTATTTGTGCCAGTCTAATGCACTACCCAGTCATGTAAAGATTAATGTGTCCCGGCAGACATTATTTGAAGATTCTTTCCAACAGATTATGGCATTAAAACCTTACGATTTGAGGAGGCGATTATATGTAATATTTAGAGGAGAAGAAGGACTTGATTATGGTGGCCTAGCAAGAGAATGGTTTTTCTTGCTTTCACATGAAGTTTTGAACCCAATGTATTGCTTATTTGAGTATGCGGGCAAAAACAACTATTGTCTACAGATTAATCCAGCATCAACTATTAATCCAGACCATCTTTCATACTTCTGTTTCATTGGTCGCTTTATTGCAATGGCACTATTTCATGGCAAGTTTATTGATACTGGTTTCTCTTTACCATTCTACAAGCGCATGCTAAGTAAAAAACTTACTATTAAGGATTTGGAATCCATTGATACTGAATTTTATAACTCCCTTATCTGGATAAGAGATAACAACATTGAGGAATGTGGCTTAGAAATGTATTTCTGTGTTGACATGGAGATTTTGGGTAAGGTCACTTCACATGACCTGAAGTTGGGAGGTTCTAATATCCTGGTGACTGAGGAGAACAAAGATGAATATATTGGTTTAATGACAGAATGGCGTTTTTCTCGAGGAGTACAAGAACAGACCAAAGCTTTCCTTGATGGTTTTAATGAAGTTGTTCCCCTTCAGTGGCTACAGTACTTCGATGAAAAGGAATTGGAGGTTATGCTGTGTGGCATGCAGGAGGTTGACTTAGCAGATTGGCAAAGAAATACCGTTTATCGACATTATACAAGAAACAGCAAACAATTTGGTTTTGGCAGTTTGTGAAAGAGACAGACAATGAGGTGAGAATGCGACTATTGCAGTTTGTCACTGGAACCTGCCGCTTACCTCTCGGAGGATTTGCTGAGCTCATGGGAAGTAACGGGCCTCAAAAATTTTGTATTGAAAAAGTTGGCAAAGACACGTGGTTACCAAGAAGCCACACATGTTTTAATCGCTTGGATCTACCACCCTATAAGAGTTACGAACAACTAAAGGAAAAACTTCTTTTTGCAATAGAAGAGACAGAGGGATTTGGACAAGAATGAATGTGGCTTCTTGTCTTGGAGGAGCGCTTGAATTTAAATACCCCAGCCAAGAAAAATTGCGCATAGTGTATATAAGCTGTTCATTCTGTACAGTGAATTGTCTTAACCTCTCAAAGCATAAACGTTTTCCGTTCTTCCACAGAATATGCAAAATAGTTCATCGTTTTCTACTTTATTTATTGCTCCCTTGAAATGACCAGGAAAAAGATCAACCTTAAATTTTGAAGCAAGAGACTTTATTAAAAATAAGTATATATCTATAAAAGCATATATGATAGTGGCTCTAGTTTTATAGAGCTTCAGGTGTATTAAACACGACAGCTGTTCATTCACACAGATCTGAATTTGCTTTACCTTGTTTCTATGATCCAGGGGAAATGTGCAAATTGCTCCATGTTCTTCTCCCTTATGTAACATCTCCAGAGGGTGTTTAGTTGCATGGCTATTGAGGAAGGTATTAAGGGCTTAGGCCAAATCTTGAGTGTGTTAAAAAATGCTGCTGGCTTTTCTGAAGACAGGTACTTGAACCTGTCAGTTTGTTTTAAATAAATACAATAGTGCAAAATTTCCTTCTTTGCTATATCAGTAATACAGTAAAAATAATGAGTGAAACTGTAACTTACATGGAAGTCATTGCTAGATTTAATAAAATTTAGTTTGTTATGGAGGTTGGAAAGAATTCATTGAACAGCGTAGAGATTTGTTTACATGTTACTTTGGGATGATAGTTACTTGTGAAATTAAAAAGAAGTGGCTATTCTGTTGTTAAAATGTGATTCTTTAAATTTAATTCACAATAAATTGATACAGTTTGATACTTAGGAACATACAAAAGGTAATGCAAAGTTTGCCACTTTTGTTCATGTTCAAAGTTTTGGTTTTATAAAACGAAATAGAGTAAATAAAACCAGATGGATTCAAAAGGGTTACATAAACATTTGAACACTTAAATAGGAGACTAACGATTTTCTATTCATGTTTGAGTATCTTCAGTATAAATTCATGAAAATTCTGTGTATCTGAATAAGCATAACCCTTTCTTTTACATAGATCAATTTATTTTTATCCTAATACTTTGTATTTCATTATAAGGGCATTTGTTGAACTACAAAGATGTATATAACAAATCAAAATTTGATGTGAATGATGTTAATGCTGCTTTTAGCAAACTGGGCTTCCTAATACAGAAATTATAAATTTCCAGTTTTAATCATGCTTTCAAATATGCACTGTAAATTTCATTAACTTAAAATTTTTTATAACTGTGGAACTGACTTTTTAGAATGTGTTACTTGTAAATATTCCACCGCTAAGTGCACATGGAAAATACTAGTATACAATTTAACTTCCATAAACACTTGTTTTTGTTTTGCCAAAATTTTATTTTTCTACATACTGGACTATGTTCTGAATTTTTACTTACAACCCATAGCAAATATGAAATAAAGGCAGTGACACAGGAAAAAAAAAAAAAAAAAAAAACAAATGAGTTGATAATAGTTATGGAAACTTTCTTATAAAAGTTTTTTTTTTTCTGTTCCAGTAGCTGGAGCATCCTAGAAGTCTGATTCACCCGAATGAACTAGGGTAACTTCCAAAGTGCTTCAGCACTACAGGGGACATGACCTCTTTTAGCTTTTGTCCCATTGGAGACCAAAGCCAGCTAGACATCACCCCTGAGCTCATTTCAGATCTGTGGAAGAGGAGGCAAATTAGACAGAAAGAAGATACCTCTTTGGCTTTTATCAGCACAGTTGTGGCACAGATTAGGAAAGCATAGCTCAGTTGGACACATAGGAAATATGCTTAATGAATGGCAAGCTTTGTGTGCACAAGCACCAGAATTATTCGTAGCAAATAATAGCTAAGCCATGAACAAAGCCCACCTGGACAAGGGCAGCACTGGAATTTGTCAAAGCCTTATGAGAAAAGCAGTCATATTATTGCCCTCTGGGACTCTTGGTGTGGGGGGGGACATAGAAGAATGCTATCATGTTTTTAAATTTCAAAATGGTCCATCTGTTCACCCAACTTTACTAACATAGATCAAGGATTCAGATACTGTGGTAACAAACAGGAGAAACTGATCCTGGCCAGGCAAGCAATGCATTGAAAGGAAGGTGATTAGCTCTTAAAATCAATGGGAGAGCTGGAGAGCAAGACTCAGAAGATAGGAAGACACCAAGGCAATGCCTACTATTCTTGGTAAAACCTTTTTATTGTGCTTTTTAACCCACGCTGATCAAGAAGATGAATGGTTCCTATTTCTGGAAGGAAAGGGAGTCAAGCTGAATTTTCTTTGTCTTTAAACCTTTAGTCTGTAGGTCAACATTTCCAAAATGCTTTGTTCTCATCCTGACAGTGTTACTAAGGGAGGCACAACCCTTTTTTCTGTATTCAATCCTAGCAGACGCATTTATGTGCCCCCTACTCATTTCCTATGTGTGGAAAATCCACCCATTAGTTGTTTCTAAAAGTATCTTAGGAAATTGGACAGTATGTTAAAGATGAATCGCTTTAAAAAGACTTAACTTGGTGGAGTCTTTTTTTTGTACTGGGAATCAAACTTGTGACCTTGTGCTTGCTAGTCAGGCACTTGAGCCACTGAACTATATCCCTAGCCCAAGATTTGTAGCTCAGCAGCACAAGTGCCTGCCTGGCAAGCACAAGGTCCTGAGTTTGATTCCCTGTACCACCAAAAAAAAAAAAAAAAAAAAAAAAAAAAAAAAAGAGACGTCATAGTGGTCTGAGGGCCAAGATATGCAGGACAATGAGCAATTTGTCACATCCCCCTTTGGGGACTTGAAGAGTTGAGGGATAGGTGAGCCTTATACAAAATTTCTAAAATGCCTGTCTTCAGCGATAATTTCCCATGACCTTTAGCAGCAATCTTTGTTTCTCTAAAATGGGGCTGCGGTTATAGATCTGCCTCTCAAAGATGCTGGCATGAATAGCTTACAACTAGTGGGGAAAAGGAACTTGCTTTGAAAAAAATGAAAGTGCTAAAATAAGAACAGCTTTGCCTTCAAGTCTGCTTTTGTTATTCTTGCAAGAACATAGTTCATCATATATAGAATCCTTTTCTTTACATGAGAATTGGGGCAGGACTTTATTTTGTCACATGCAGGGAGGCATTGTGTGTGTGTTTGGAGCTGATCTTCCCTAGCCTGGTGATAGGTACCTGCCCTTGGTGACTAGCTGAGGAGGGAGCTGCTGCTCTCAGCTGTCACTTGTCACTCTACCTATGGACAGCTTCCTAACTATTGGCCAGAAGCCATTCTCTGCACTGGGGTCCCCCTACCAGGAAAATCTTGTCAGAATCACAGGGTCATTTGTTCATCTGTTGATTCATTCCACAGCGTATGAGCTTCAGCTATATTCTGTGACTGTTAGGTATACTGAGGGCACAGAGTCAACCAAATCCTGGTCCCTGCCCTCAGGGACATTCTAGTTAAAAACCAAGCTTATCAAGATTGGGAGCTGATCTTTTGTCTGTGTTGCCAGACTTAGCATAGTGTTTTAAAATATGTGTTTGATTGAATTAAAATTGGATAGTCAAAGTCAGTCTTCCTAGGGATTAGGGGACAAAAAAAGATTAAGAGAATAGCTTGATAGTCTAAGAAAGATGCTTCCTTCCTCTCCACCTGTGCTCTTCCATATGCCATCGAGTGCTTTCTTCAGTCAAGAATTCTTTTTTAAAACTTAGGAGGTCTCATCTTTACAGATGTTCTCTATACAGTATGACCCCTTGTTTCATTTCCCTTCTCTTTCCGTTTTTGCTCTCCTCCCTAAACTGTCTTCCCAGCTTTCTGCGGCACCTGCTTTAGCTAGTGAAGCAATAAGGTAGGGGAAGTTAGGCAGCTAGGACACAGGTCCTCAAGAGTTAACCTAAAGTAAGCTAAAAGTCAGGTTTAAGGGAGTTAACACACTAGGGAGTCTGGATAATTAACTTAGGCAAACTGACTCTCAGGGCCTAGTGGAATGCAAGGGACAAAGAACAGTTCCCTAAACAAAAGGGAGAGATGTTGCAGGAAGTGAAATGCAAATGAAACAGCTTGCATTCCTGACATCAAAGGCCTACCTGCAATGAGGAGCATCCCAGGTCCCAGAAACTGTATAGGCTGATGGACTTAAACATCTATGTTGTCCGCTTTATGGAAGCCCTCCTCCATTAGTGGGGAGCTTTTCCTTTTATTCTTTCTATAAACATGCGTTTGTCTATTTCCCACCGCTTGCTGTTTGCTGCTCTGTTGGCTTCAATCTTTATTGCTCTGAAAGAAAGACCTGAGAGCTGGAGGAAGCTGGTTATACTAGGAGAAGGATGCACAGACTCTTTCTGCATCTCCATAAACCTTTCCTAAGAGGCTGGAAACTCAAGTTCTATGAGCTGTTACCAGAGCCTCATCCCAGAGCGCCTGTAGTATCTGTTCCTATGTGTGCAGGACCCCGCCTCAGTGCTCCTCTCTGACTCCTAGAACTGCTTCAGTTAAATGCTTGCTATTTCCCCATGTGGCAGGAATAATACACAGTCAAAACATGGAAAGTACTTCAGTATGGCTAGAATAGGTGTGGGGCCAAGTTACAATGAAAGCCTTGTATGCCATGTGAATGTATTTGGATTTTATCCTGGACAGAATTGGGGATCAGTGGAGGCCTTAAAGCAAGAAACTCATGTGATTTGATAAGATTTTAAAGAAGAAATGTGGAGAATGGAATGGGCTGGAAGTAGGAAGACTATTTAGAAGGCTATTCTAAAGCCCTCATGGTCATGAAGACTTGTGTAAAGTGACAAAGTAAAGGGGAAGAGCTTTAGAATGAGTCAGCCTGGGGGCAAGCCTGACTGTCACCTGCCACCTGACATGCTGGGCAGGGTACATACACCCTCTGAGCAGCAGTTGCTTAATCTATAAAATGAGTGTGATAACAATGCCTACTTTGTAGGGTTTTTGAGAGAATTCGTGAAGCTGTTCTCTGAGAAGTGCTTAGTGCAATCCCTGACACATAGTAAGGGCTTTACAACTGTTCTGTAGTAGGAGGAAGCAGAAGCCTCCTTTTAGGGAGTGACAGTGGGGACAGAGAAGGACCAAGTTTGAGAAATATTTACACTTGGTGATCAACTTGATGTGGCCAGAGACAGAGAGGGAATCTAAACACTAGGATTCCTATCTGGGGCAGGATAGGCCTTAGAATAGCCTCCTAAATGGTCTCCCTACTTCCAGCACAATCCATTCTCCACATTTCTGGTATCAGGGCCCTAGACGGCAGGCTAGAATTCAGGGCCAGGCTTTGGTCCCACTGGAACAACTGGGGTGCAACTCAGTAGAAGCACAGTCTCAATCTTCATTGCCCCCAAACACCCGAGACACCCAGACAACACCACTGTTTAGCCCCAATGTAAATTCTAGCATCTGTGCAGTTTCTGCCCATTCTGCCCCGTTCGAACTCAGCATCTCACACCTGGACATCTGTGCATGCCTCGCCCTGGCTTTGCAGCTTCACCAAAGTTGACAGGCTCTTCTGTGTAGCAGCAGCAGCAGCAGCAGCAACTATACTTATTGAGCCCTTAGTATATACCAAGTATTGTACTAAGTAGTTAGCATAAAATGTCAATTAACCCTCAAACAACTCCAACTCCATAAGACAGTTACTGTTATTCTAGTTTTGCTCATGAGGAAACTGAAATTCATGAGTTGAGTAATTTGCCTGAGGTCATGTACCTAAGAAGTGGTAGTGGATTCTAATTTAAGACTGACTCCAAAATCCATGTCTTTGACTATCATGCTGTAAAATAGAAAACTTTTCTGCAAATGTATTCCTTATCCTTCAGAGTGTTAGCTTGTGTCATGGAAGATGCTGAGGCGTGACTAACCTCTATTAATAATTGATGAAGACAGTCCAATGGTTTGCTTGCTCAGTTGGCTAATCTCATTAACAGAGAACCTAGCTGGGGAGGAAGTTATTACTAACAATCATCTGATAAAACCCGAAATGTAACTCTCTCTCCAAAAAATAATAAATAAATAAGATTAAAAACTGCACAATGCTTCTGTGTAGCACCTGTCTCCTTTGATGGTTTTATTGATCCTAGGAAGTCTAGGAACTGTGATTTCCCCAGGAGGGCTTCTGTTGGGAGTAGAGTAAAAGGAGGTGTGGTCAAGAACACAGTGTGTCCTAGCTACAGTGCCTATGATTTGCTATCCAGCCTCAACCTGCTAATTGAAGTCATCTCACCTCTCTGCTCCATTTTTTATCACCTGAAAAATTTGGGCGTGAATAAGGATTTGAAAGAATTTGAAGAATCCAGAGTTAGAAACTAGTGTAAAGAAGTGAATGCAATAGAATCTAAGAGGAACTATAAAGAAATTTGTTTCCTAATCCAATTGTGTGAGTCAGGGAGCATGAAATTACCCACGCCAACATTTGGAGTGGGGAAGAGAAGTACAGGAATGGAGCTTCCAGGTGGAATTATCTGCCCAATCATGGAGTTGATCAACATAATTTAGATATACTCAAGACCTGGTGGTGGTGGATGGTCACTGGGATTCAGGCACTTCTGGATGAGAAGTGAGGGGAAGGCAGGGAAGGTGAGGGGAGGTATTTGAGATCTGCTCTTTACCTGTCACAGGGCTCCTCTACTGTGTCTACTCTGACAGCAACCAATGAGATACTGTTTGTTAATGACCCTTAGAGTAGTAGTATGATGTTCATTTTATAGGTGAGTCTCAGATTCCTTAATAGACTTCATTAAGACTCCACCACTAGTATATTGCCAGATGATATTCAAAGCCTTGCCTATTTGGTGCCAATGCTATTTTACTATACTGTGCTATCTATGACTCATTTAACCAGTTTCCTCTGCAGAGTACTAGAAATTCTCATATTAATAGTAATTCACTTGCTCATTCATTCCTTTATTTAAGCATAGGTAGCTACTGAGCACATGGAAGGTCTAAAACACTTTGAGATTTGATACATCTCAAATATGATGTATTCACTTCCAAATTCCACACAACTCAGAAACCTTTTTCTCCTAACAGAAATTAGAAATTAGGTTTTCATTTTGCTTTTCCTTGAAGAGACACTGACTGGAAATCAGAAGACAAGAATAGAAGCATGCTGTCTTGTCCATGTCAAGGGAGCTTGAGTGAAGAAGCATATTCTTAAAGAAGTGCATTTGAGCTGCAAGAGTAAGCTTGCTTTGCAGGATGTCATTGTGAGCATAGAACAGGGGGCACTGTTATGGTTTGTGTCTAGATGTCCCCTAAAGCCTCATGCAGTTTTAGATGGGGCTTTTTCAGAGGTATCTGAATCTTGAGTGTGTGATTGATTCATGGTTTAATGCTAAGATTAAAGGTATTGGGACTAAGGGTGAGTGATTCCTGGATTAGTCTACTGATTAGATTGGCACCACCCTAATCCTGGTAGACTGGATACAATATAGAGACAGAAAGAGGCTTGTCTCTTCTCCCTTGTTGCTTTTGCTGTCTTTTGCCACCATGAACTGTTGCCCCTCTGCCATATGCCACCCTATCTTGGAGCCAGCTTATTATGGACTAAAACCTTCATAAACTGTGAACTAAATAAACCTCTCCTCCTTTAACTTTGGGTCGGGTATTTTATTTCAGCAATGACAGAAAAGTAACTAAGACAAGCACCTAGTGGAAGTAGTCTTTTCTTGCATGTTTGAAGTTCTAGGGTGACCCTGTTACCCTGTCCTACCTGAAACTGTCTTGGTAGCCTCTTGCATTCAATTCACGACCTTTTTTATTTCTTCATAACCTTTTATCCCCCCTGCTTCTCATCATAATTCTACTTCTGCTTCTAACAGAAGTTTCTAAAGTAGAAACTCTTGACTCTCCTGTTCAACTGAGGAAGTTATGTTCTTATTGCTTGGAATTTCTAGATCTAACCATTGGGTTCATATAGACCTTTTGTCTCTCAAACATACCCCTGATCTTTCATTCACTGAAAATTTCCTCTCTTTTTTTGGTCACCAAACTTCAGGTTGGATTTTTTACCACTTAAACTTCTCATCTGCTTTTACCACTTAAACTTCTCATCTGCTTTTTAAATTATTTTTTTCCCTTTCGGTTACCCTTCAAAGCTTTTGAGCTCAGTCTTTTGCTTTTGATCTGAAACCTCAGATTTCTCTCAGACTTCATTTCTCCTTTATCTCTGCCCCCTTTACTTGGTCACCAGCTGGAAGGGAAGTTACTTCTTCTTGAAGTCATACTTCCTGGTTTCATTGTCATCGTTTATCAAATATTTATTGTGTACCTGTGGTCTTTATAAGCTAGAGCAACAAGATAAAACACACTCTTCATGGTAAAAGGCATATAAATAAACACATGCAAAATTATCATAGTAAATGTCTACAAGAGGACACTACATAGAGTGATGGTACAGAGGAGGAAATGATGACCTGATTGGTCAAAGGAGACATTATGAGAAGGAGCCTTTGAACTGGATTTTAAAAAGAGTTTACAAAGGGAAAAGGGGAGTGTCATGTGCAAATCCTGGAGGTGTGCAATAGGGTGTCCCACTTAGGGAAACTGATGCTATTTAATATTCTTGTGGCTTGAACTCAAATAGAGGTGTTTCAAAGAGATGGGCTGAAGGTGTAAGAGGAACTAGAGGATGGAGCCCTTTGGATGCCTTACCAAGGATTTGGGTTTTTGGCAAGCGCAAGGTCGTGAGTTCGGTTCCCGGTACCGGAGAAAAACCAAAAAAAAAAAAAAAAAAAAAAAAAA